GTCAAGTGGGACCCAACTCATAGCGACCCCTCCTTGGGTTTCCGAGGCAGTATCACTACAGAAGTAGATTGCCCAACCTTCCTTCCGAGGAGTGGCCGGTGGGTTTGAACTGCCAGCCTTCTGGTTAGACATTCCTTAATTTGCAAACATGAGTATTAGCTATAAACTGAGGGAGACTTTACTTCCATCAATTTGTTCATGACTTTCCTATTTTCTCTTTTTCTTTTCCTTTTTTCCCGGGATGCTAAATATCACCTTTTTGTTTCATTCCTTAAAAACTGTAAGCAGAATTTTACGAAGGGTGTCCCTCTAGTTTTAGCACACAACGTACTCCTCCTGTCAATCAGTTAAAGAAGTCCCTGGGTGGCACAGATGGTTTGCTCTTGATGATAAACCCATAGGTTGGTGGTTCAAACCCACCCAGTGACACTGCAGAAGAAAGCTCTGGTGGCCTGCTTTCATAAAGATCACAAGGAAGGAAACCCTCTGGGGAAGTTCTGCTCTGTAACACCCGGGTCGCCAGGAGTCAGAACTGACTGGATGGCAATGGGTTTGTTTCTTCCGTTTGTTCATTTCAGTCAGTCAAGAAAATGGAATATATAAATTGCCACTTAAAAAAAAAAGACAGAAAAATAGCCAGAGTTGCAAAATTTTGAACATTGAACTAATTTTCTACCCACGTCTGTGTACATTTGAACAAAAAGTTAACACTTTTTCTCACAGGTTGTGAATTTTGCAAGGTTACATATATGAGGGAATAGACTCTTGAAGGTGTGGAGTTCTCGGTCAACCCTCTCAGACTGGAGGCAAACAGCTTGAAAGGTATTTTCAAGGCTCTGGTGTCTGCAACAATGTTAACAAAAGCTTTTACTATGTTAAAGGTGCTCTGGTGGTACAGTGCCTAAGGTATTTGGCTGTTAACCAGAAGGTTCATGGTTCAAACCCACCAGCCACTCCATGGGATGAGGATGAGGCAATCTACTTCTGTAAAGCTTTACAGCCTTGGAAAGTCAGTGGGGATTGCTATGAGTTGGAATCCACTCGAAGGCAGTGGGTTTAATTTTTTTTTTTTTTTTTTTTGGTTTAATGCCTACATCTTTGGGTGGTTAAGCCTCAACTATTAGCTGAAGGTTGGCTGTTTGAATCTACCCATAGGTGCCTTGGAA